ACTTAGACGAAATTTTGGCACGGATATAGATTATGGTCTGGAACAGCACATAGGCTACTTTGATCCCACAAAAGTTTATTAAAAAACCATATATTTTTATAAGTTTCGGTAAAGGACTAAACAAAACCCACTGAGACAAAAATTAAAACCTGTATTAATTAAAGTCTGCATTTGTAATTTAAAAACTTCGACATTGAATAAGCAACACCAACTATATTTCTCATCTATCATACCATTTCAAATAAACCATTGTTTTATGTATAAATAACAGTTAAATCATTGGATTTACTATACTTGGAACTATAAAGAAAAACCATAAGGAAAATATATAAACAATATAACATCATTTCCGTAAATATTCCAACATTTTATGGTAATTTTCAGTTTACTGAGCTTTAAAACTGACAATTAATGACAATGTTATGTAATTAACAGTTTTTGTAATCATTAATGATTGTCATTTAATTCAAATTGATGCGTAAACAGTTGTTTTGTATTGTCTTGTTGCCTTAACTTTTATGTCATCATTGCAATAGGATCATTAAAAAGGAGAATATTTATTTTATTACATGCTATTAAAACTATACATAAAATTGATATTGAGCGAGAATTAAACCCACGACCGTCGCTGTCCAATTTAATACGTACGAAAAAAAACACTGACTTTAATGCAACTAAGTAATGGTAGATTATAATAATTATGGTTTATTCTCTAATTTTTCAACTGTTGAATAGTTTCCTTGAGTAAAACAAACCTGTGAAAATATATTCTTGAAATAAGTTCACAAATGTCGAAGATATAGGGTATCATACACTTGGAACAGATTATCAGTCGAATAGAGAATGTCATCAGTTCTAAAGTGGGTCAATTAAAATGTTTGCTTTTCTTATTTTATGCGTTACCATGCCTTATCCATCTAGTAAAAACTACGGTTACGGCCAAAAGCTGGTCTAATACCTAATTGAACGGAAAAATGAGTTTTACGCGATCTAACAATTGAAATGAGGGGGGGACAAAGCTAGAAGTTATAAAACCTAACTAAAGTCATGGTGGCTCATCTAAGTGTTGCTTAATTTGTAAGTTAATGATTTCAACCGCGAGGCGCCGGCAATCAAACACTCTGTGTGTTGTATTACTGCTTGCGTTGCCTCAAGGAGCCATGAAAAGAGCGTGTAAATATTAAATATCAGCTTTACACCGCGATTTCGCAAGCGTTAAATTCGATTTACAGAATAATTAATACCATAATATATGTCCTATTCCGGACAATCCTTTAATAATAATAACTTTACACATCTCACTGATTCCAAACCAGGCAGAGCCTGTACTATGGTAACCAGACTGCTGGTAAACATACTTGAATAGTTCTAAATACATCCATATTATAAATAAATTACACCCAGACACGAAACAAAAGAACGTACTCGTTATACAATATTTGTCCTGGGTGGGAATCGAACCCACGACCTCCAGCTCAGTCAGGGTCACTAGACCAACAGGCCAATTTTTTTTACACATATTTAGAATTACTATAAATTGAGATAAATCTTTAATATTAAGGATATAAGTCAAGTAAGTGACAGTGTAAAATACTAGGCTTAAATGTTAATCAATTTCATAAAATCCAACAAATTATAAACATAATTGATTGATGACATTATAAACAATTTTTCCCGCTCGCTTCGTGGCCCCTGCGCCGGCGCATCACAACCGCAAAGGTCATGTGAACAGGTTACTTCGTTCACCAGTTAGGCTAACACAATATTCTTCAAATGTTGTTTATGTTTATTACACGGAGCTTAGGTATTGCGACTTAGATTTGATGTTTCTTCCTGATGATAGTTAGTTTCTAGTGCGTGCAAAAGTTATTTCTACTTTTGAGTACCAATTATTGCTTCTATTGATATTGTGACTACCGCAGGACTATTTGTTCGTCAAGAAACAGTCAAGTCCTAAAAAGGACTGATGGAAAGGACGGATGTCGTAGTGGTTTAAGCGGTCGCCACGCCGCTTCCTACTACGCCGAGTGTTGTTGGTTCAAACCCCAAATGGGACGACACTTTGTGTGATCCACAAATTGTTGTTCTGAGTCTGGGTGTTCTTTGTGTCCGTTTCATGTATGTTTGTACACAGCGACACAGGATATATTCCTAATGCGGGAGTTGTATTTTAATATATAAAAAAAATATCCGAAATATTTTTATGACAAACTCTTTCATATCAAGTTTAATATAATTATTTCATACAAAGCATTAATGTCTCTCATTTCGACTTTAAGGCTCCAGAAACAAAACTTTATTAAAATCGAAACTCCAGATTAATGACATTGTTTTTATTGTTGTATAATTGATGATGTTTATTAATCGTCGTAATTAATTGTTGTAATTGAATAATATAAACTTATTGTCATGATTCTAAGAAAGATGACGAACCTCAGACGCGTCACGATTCGTGATGATGTTTAGATGATGTCCTGTGTCATGTGCCTCAGTTGTCTTCGAACGATCAACGAGGTTGGTCTGTGGTTTATAAAATAACATAATTGTTTATTATTGAATAATAATTTGATATTTCTGTGGTTTTAAAGAGTGAGTACTCATTAGTTATTTGATTATCCTTTATCTAAATGTATAATTAATTTATTTGATACAACAATGAAGGTGAAAATTAAGGGAGTCTCTCTAAATCTAAATAATATAATGTGTATCATTAATTTTATTAAGAGTTATTGACTAGTACCGCCCATAGATAATTCCGCGTATGACTAACCATATGAATGTAAAATAAAATAAAAATTGAATATAAAATTTTAAGAAAATTAAATGAAATTTAAAGTATCATGATAAAAATGTTTTTATTTTATTGAACAAATATAAAAATACACTTTTATTAATCTCATCAAAAAGTTGAAAAATAATCCGCTATCCGGATTTGGTATCATACCATTATAACCAAGGTTAATCTGTTAGACTCATCAAAATGAATCTTATGAGCCTAAACTTAACCCCACTCCTGAACAGGGAGTAGCACTCTACTACCCCCTGAAGGGTTATAGTTGTATAACCCATGTCGTCACTATATCATGACATCAACTCCAGAATACTGAATTATAGTATGATCATATAAAATACAAACAAAGGTTGAAGTAAAAATGTTTTTCTTCTGGATCTAATTATCGAATTTTTTGCAAGGGATCCCAGTTTAATGGTGAAGGTACACATTTAGCCAGTATTTACGAGCTATTAAAAAACAGTGTCACCCATTAAAGTTAATGGTGGTCTCTGACCTTTTAATACAAAACAAACCGGTAATAATACTCCGGTTCCAATTTATGGTTTCATCTTTTTTTATGTCGAAGAAGGTTTTGGTTTTAGAATAAAACTCTTGTCCAAGAAAACAAATCGACTTAGAATTTAAAAACAATCTTAAAATAACTTTATGAATGAGTATTAAATAAAATTTAACAGAATATTTTGGCGCAGCAGGTCATACAGTGTTATTTTTTTACTTTTTACTTTTTGCCTGGAACTCTATACGTTGATAAACAATCAAGACAGCTACAATCAGTTTAATCAAATACTTCTCCTATCGTGCTTGTGACAAGAGAAGAATCACCAAAAGTGGTGTTTCTGTAACGTCACTCCATAAATTGTTTTCGTAAAAGCCAATAAACAACGCTTTTGTGATGATGATGACGATAAACATACTCGTAAAATCCAGAAGACCATGAGTGGCATTCAAATACGTGTATTTTTTCCTAGTCTTCAAGTTTATTTATACTTAACAAATATCATCCTTGTAAATGGAATGCAGTAGTAAAATTCTTAGAAGCAGTTCCCACAAAATGATTTTGCCAAAAATCACTCCAGATAAACACTTATCTGGATTATAGCTTGCATTAACTTTAACCTCTGTGATTCGGTGGTAATTACTCTCCCTCATTTCAAATGTTTATTCTGGATGTTTCTATGTATCATATATTTGTATTAACAGAAAAAGTATCGATGTATGTTAATCATTAACATATGCTTATTCACACAGTAAAAAATATGCTTATTTCAGTATTCGATTCGATCGATCGTCAGTGCAAGAGACAAAAATAAACATGAATGCTTTAAAGTCATCTAAATCTAAATAAATAAAAATGAATCGCCGTAATGTATGTATACGCATTACTGCCGAACGACTGCACCAAATTGGATAATTCTTTTTTTTTAGTTCGTTATTGTCAGGACAAGGTATGTTTTAAAGAAAATTAAAAAGAAAACGAACAGCTTATTTTAAATCTCATAATATGAAAAGCCTTGAATACATTGACGAAACATTGACAGATTGACGTTCAGGAATTGCTGTGTTTTTCGCATGGGCAGTCGGCAAACCATCGGCGCTAAAATTTGTTTTGCTAAAACATTGTACATTTCAAAGCATTACAATAGTTGTGGTCGGATGATTTAATTGTAATTTTATTTCATTACATGGTCGTATTGTAAACAAAAGATTTTGTCTCATTTTTTGTCATTAAGTACGTAACGTGTATGTGATGTGATGTTTCATGGTTTCATTTTAGTTATGTACAAAACGGATTAAGAATACAGAGTATCACCGCCCTTATTCATCCCGTGGGTGTCGTAAGAGCCGACTAAGGGAAAAGACTACGCACAACAACAGCACTGCAGAGAGAAGGAAAACATGACACAAACCCTTTTTTTTTTTTTTAATACTCTGCGCCTGTAACAGGAGGGATCCGGGAACAGGTGTTATTAAGACATCCGGACCCCTCCTACCCCTGGTGCGGGCTCCGTCTCAAAATTTTCCTTTCTTTAGGCGATGACACAAACCCTGTACCAACCCGTCTGGCCAGCGTGGTATAGTAGGCTAAAACCTCCTTTCTGAGAAGAGGCTAATGTCCAGAAGTAGACTGTTAAAGGCTATTGATGTGAAAACAACAAGAACGTATCAATCAATCGTCTCTTCTTACAAGCTTCCCTTGATCTTCCAGATGCTGTGCCCTGCGCTACTCCTAGCGTTCCTGGCGTTCGCCAGTTGCGACGTGTCTCACATACTGCAAGAACAGCACCTGCCCTACGAGACTACGACTTCAGAGCAGCCGCCGCCAAGGCCCTACGTGTTCTCTTATACAGCGGGAAGGTATCCTGGACATACTGACCGACAGCATACTGAAGTCAGCGATGGCAGTGGTGTAGTTAGAGGTAAAAAAAAACTTTAAATTAATAAAGGGATATTATACGGATAGATTAAAGAGTGTTAAAAAAAATTCTTGAATGATATCTGCTTTAATTAATTATAATATTAAAAAAAATGTGTTTTAAATTATTAGGCCCAAAAATGTTGTGTATCTATATGCCATTTGAAATCATTAGCATTACTTTTTTTAATTGCTTTTATGTTTTGCTAATTTTATTGTTCCTTGACCTTTAGCGGTTGGTGTCGTAGACCTGTTTTATAAGTGGCAAATAACTGGTGGCATTTACACAAACGATTTAACGTATTTCACTAAAAACATGAGTAATCTATGAGCGAACTAGAAAAAAAATAATTGTATATAAATACGTCAAATTTTTTTCATTATGTAAATTCGCAATATTTGCCTCAATTCTAAAAGATTTAAAAAACATTTTGTAGCTTTTTCTTTCTCAAAGCTTTTCCTATTTCTTCACAGTGTTTACATTTCCAAATCCATTCAGCGACAAGGAGCAAATATTTACATATATTAGTTTAAGTTTCTGTTTAAACATGCATCTATTTATAAAAACAAATAAATAGTAATATATTTATTCGTGTCGTAAAACCCACAGTAGTATCTATGCTTGGCGTGAGTCTAAACAGAACTGTGTAGTATGACTCTATCTGATTTTACCTCTAAAAAACCAGGAATTTGCGCAAATGCGTTGCTCCACATATTTAATCTGATCAGGTTGCCTATTAGGAAGAGAAATCTGAACTAACCAGTACTTTATGGTCTCCGCCTACACTACACGTATTCTGGTCACGCTTGTCGGAGTAAAATATGTGGACAATTTGAGAACAAGAGGCCAATTAACTTAGGCTTAAATATTTTATACAGGTATTAGCTATAGTTTTAATACGCACTTGTTAAATTTTGTATTCTAAAAGCGATGTATGCCGTTGGTTTTTGATTCTCATAATAACAGCTATGTCATTTAATGTTATTATGAATATTCAGTGAGTTATTTTACGTCTTTAATTTAAAACGTAGTTCCAAAGATAACAGATTACCGTCTATTTATAGTTCATGGTCGTTCTCGTCAGCATAAAGTCTTATTCCTTAATATGATTCTTCATCATTATCTTTGCTGCTGTCTGACTGAAATATATCTAGGAATAGACATATTCATGGCCACGATTTTCATTTCATTTTATTTGGGTGGTCTCGTAAAAGCTTGCTTCTGTTACAGTTGTGCTCCTGCCTGACTAAAATCCTTTTTAAGATTGTAATCGTTTCCAAATGGGAAAAAACAATAAGGTAAATTAAGAGAAAGGTGAACAGACAGGACGTGAAAAAAAAAAAAAAAGGACGTGAGCAACAGAGTAAAGGATATGTTAGTCTCAAATGGGAAATTTAATTGAGACTACAGTAACTCAATTCTGAATTCACTTACTTATGTCATCATCATCATCAACAGGCTTTGACAGTCCATTGCTGGCCATGGGCCTCTCCTTAGAAAGGAGGTTTTGGCCTACTATACCACGCTGGTCAGACGGATTGGAATAGGGTTTGTGTCAAGTTTTCCTTCTCTTTGCAGTGCTGTTGTCCTGCGTAGTTTGCTCCCTTAGTCGGCTATTACAACACCCACGGCATGAATGAGGGTGGGGACAATCCGTATTTTAATTCACCACACGGACACTTATTTATATGACGGATGTCATTCGAAAAGCCACTGGAGTAGGGAGATCAACTAATTGTATCTTCATTTATTCCTAGATTTTAAATAGAGTATAAATATGTAAAAAATCTATTTTTGCAATACTCTTAAATCAATCATAGGTAAATTTAAGGAGCGATAATTATGTTATATCAACTTCCCTTCTTAATTACCGGGCTGATGTTATTGCAAAATTTCCTCTTGACATTGAAATTAATGACAAATACGTGTGTAATTACAAAATATACATAGGACTACTTAATATTAACACGATTGATAATGGTCATAAACATACTTATAAATGAGTATGAGTATGAGTAAATGAGCCCCTTCACTCAATTTGTCAAAAATTTCACACCTTGACATAAATAAACCCATTTCAAGAATGTTGTAGCGCTCTGTGAGGATTTATGTTTATAATTGATTCATTGCTTTCTAGATAGGATTCAGAAATATAAAGCCATATTTTGCAAAGTCTTAGGTGCTTGTGTCTAAGTGGTAACCGAGTAAACTAGCACGGTAGATTATCAAGTCGGTCAATGGGATGGCTGACCATTCTTAATACTTTGAGACCCCTCCGTGCCTCAGAGAGCAGTTTAACAAATCGGTCACGGAAAAGGCTCGGAGGATAATGATTTTGCTATTTTTTTCTTATTTGTCGTATTTTTATTATTATGTATGTATATGTATAGAAAAGAGCTGAGATTGAGATCCAATAATTCCTTTTTCTTGGTTAGCTAAAGACCGCTTGAAGTCGCTTTACCTCTTGGTAAAAGGCGCCATTGGCCATAAAACTAGTCGGGTAGGAAAGTTTTCATTCTAAGAATTAGCGTTCTCTATTGCAAGATGAAAATATAATTAAAATTACTTCAGCGACGTTACTTACTATAAGGAATTAAAAATAAATTACACATCAAAACTTGAATTATCATCTTGTGCCAATCTAACCATAACCTCTGTCATGATTCCAGGATCGTTCTCCTACGTGGATCCCCGCCAGAAAGTTCGCACAGTAGACTACGTCGCAGATAAGCAGGGCTTCCATCCCCTTTTAAGTGATGTCCCACCTGAACACCCAACAGACTCCGAATCAGTTGCAAGGGCCAAGGATAGGCACTTCCAACTTTACGCTAAGATTGCTGAGCAGCACGCCCATCCCGAAGGTAAGATTTGAAAACTATTTTCTAGACAACAGATTTACATAGATGACCTTATAAGTTTTGTTGGTTAGTTTGATTCGCATGGTGGTTTGAATTTGATCGCAAATTTTGTATTCCACGTGCAGATAAGAGACTCTTCAATGTGACACAAAAATATTGGTAGTTGATTGAAAATTTACGGTTACAGTTTCGGTAACTTTTTCTTAGACATAGAGGCGTGAATAGAAAAAGTGTTGTTTATCTATACCTCAATGTCAGTCCTGAATCACTAAACTGAAAACTTTGTTACGGTTTAATTTTAAACTGAGAAAAGAAACTTTTGACACAAAGATGATTCTCTCAACAGGTTGGGATTTTTTCTTGTTTGATTGATTGATTGAAGTTCTTGTAAGCATCCCTTACAGCATTTGTTCTTGCTATTGTGAAAATATGCTATTAAACCACAGGCATATTAAGATCGTAATCGTAATGTAGATCTAGCATTCAGACTAATGATTACGATGCGGTTTGATTTCTCTTCTTTCGATGACGGTGGAAATATCAAACATACTGTGTCTTTGTGTTCTCCGAATGACTTACTTATGAGTGTCAATTCTTATGTATTAAATTTTAAATAAATACGATAAATAAATATTTGAATAATTCCTTTACAGAAGTCCCTTCACCTCGTGAAACTGAAGCTGTTGCTGCAGCAAGAGCAAAACACGCACAACTCTTTAAAGTAATAGCTGAACAACACGCGAGGATAGCAGCGGAGAGGGAAGCACTTCTCCGAGAAGAAGAAGAAGAAAAGCAACATTTACAGGAACTGGAACAATAGGCTTTTAAAGATAAAATGTTGATGATCAAATATGGATATGCAGGGATGATTAAGCTTTAAAGATTGATGGGTATTGATACTTAAAATGAATTGGCGCGATTATTGTATATTTTCATAGTTTGACATGCAAAATATATGTGTATAAATGAAATGGGTTCTCCTACGGTTGACCATTAGCATAATAATAAGGGGATGCACTTCCCCTCATTTTATGCCTTTCACGCAGCAAATAAATCAACGACAACGAAATCATCGACAAATGTCAATAATAATGTGATCTGGAGCACAAAACAATTTACGACTCATATAAAAAGCCATTTTAATGTAATGAAGTAGTACAGTCAATTACTTGTTAATTATCCGACATCGATTCCTAACAAAATATTGTTACGAGCTGGTTGTTATATAAATAATAAGAGTTGTCTGTTAATTACTTTTTTTACTGAATTTACAAACACTCTACTAGAAACCACTATATATCTTGTTAGTCGCACTAGAAATTCACTCCAATGTTAATTCGCTGTGTCGTAAAATGAAACTGCCTCGAATACCGCCAACACGCTCCGCTTTTATTGCGCTTTTAAATTTTACTAGAAAGTTCCTAGAAGTTTCCATGCTAAACACACACGAATTTTCCAGAATCATTCACAAGTTACTTGCAGCGCTATCTAGCGCTGTAAGGATCAGAACTACGCTTATTAACTACAATCTTAATAGATGTACTTTAGTCGATCGTAGATGGCGCTGTCCTCCACATTTCATACAATCGAACCATTTAGTCCTATGGCGCAACAATATTTTTACAATACAATATTTAATAACATATTTTTTAGATCTGCATTTTATTTTGGTCAGTGAGGATTTTTAATAATTTTGCAACGTACTTTTCTTAGATACAAATATCGTTAAAATTGTTTAGGCTAGTTAGAAAATGCATTACTATTCCAAGTTTGTTTTTGTGATAAATCAAAATATTCATGTACTTATCTGCTATCCATATTTGATAAACAAAAACTAAAAATGACTGCGTTTTCTTCACAATATTGAAATAACCGTTTTTAGGTTATTTGTGCAATATAGACACTGTTTTCGCGAAGACAAACAGTTTGGTGTTTCACATGACACTTTATTGTTTTTTCTTCTGAAAAAATTCTTGATTCGGCTGTTTTTTTTTCTTTTATGTTTATTCACCTCTCACCATTTATAAACCGATTTGGAAAATTCTTTTATTATTTGAAAGGTCTATACTTCTCGTTTAGATCTGAGGATGAAAATGAAATTCGCCATGATGTAGGGGTTGGAGCATTGGAGTCGGTTATATTTTGTTTAAAGGCAATTATTTGTATTTTCTTTACGTTTTCACTGTATGAAAAGTTTTTCTGTGTCGTTACCTAATATTGTGAATAATACCCATTGTATGTAGGACTGTATATACCTATTAAATATAAGCATTATAACAATACTCTCGATTGCCATATTCATACCAATTTGATATTATTTTTAGTATGTATTAAAATTAATTTTGTATTTTTTTTTACCTAATGTTTCTAAATGAAAACATCTCATTATTAAAAAAAGTATTTAATAGACATGTTGTTTAATTCATTCCTTTTCAAATTTCAAAAATTACTAAACGATGTGAACAAAAAAAAATTAACACGCTACGGTTACATTGCATGAGTATTGCGTTCAGACGTTTTGAAGCACGAAAAAATTTCATAGTTCATAATAAATTCAGAACTTTTTTACCATTGTTGCTATGTGGAATATTATTTACTCATTGGTTTCGTCCTACCGTAAAACAAAAGGCCTGATGAAAGAATTGATGGATGTCAAGATTGTAGCAAGTAGCGTCCTGTAGTCTACCCCGGACGGGTCGTGTTTGTGTGTACCTTTGCTTAAGGAAATATGGTGTTTTAAATTATAAAAGAAAGAAAAAACAGACATGTGGCTAAACTGTTGAAAATATTTCGTTCATCATCATCATCAACAGCCTTTAATAGATTTAATTAAGAATACGGAATGTCACTACCCAATTCATCCCGTGGGTGTCGTACGAGCCGACTAAGGGCGCAAAACAACGCAGGATACCAGAACTGCAATAAGAAGGAAAAAGGCCAGCGTGGCATAGTAGGCCAAAACCTCTTTTCTAAGCAGAGGCCTATGTTCAGCAGTGGACTATAAAAGGCTGTTGATGATATTTTGAAAATAATAATATCTAGGAATAATAAAATTAATAAAAACTGACGCACAACGCCATCTAGTTTCAAACTAAGCAAAGCTAATACTATGAAAGCTAGATTCACTGATAGAATACTTATTTACTTTTTTTGTAAGTACATACATATTATAGATAGAAAACACCCAAACTCCGAGAAACTAATATTTGCAAATCATACAAACATCTGGTCCGACCTGGGAATCGAACCTGAGACAGCACAGCGGTCGCATACGCTACCACTGCGCTACCGAGGCAGGTTATAAGCATTTACTATCCGTGTTACGAAAATTGGTGATTAAGTTTTTCAACACATAAGCTCACGCCACCTTCGTCTCAACATCGGCCTCATATCAGATATGAGGCCGAAGAGATTCCACATTCTTCTACAAATTGTTGTCTTAATCAAAAAGTGTGGAATTAAAAGTCATCGCGAAAGGAAAAATATGTAATTCTATTCAAAGTGTAATAAGAAGAAAAGGATCACAAAACCAATAAACTTAATCCGCGTATTTGGTCATGTTGGTCTGCCAGTGTAGTTATCTCGAGGAGTCTGAAAAGGGAATAAACATTGATTATAATTTTATTACATGATGGTTTCCTATGGTTAAAATAAATTGGTTAACAGTCCTCATGAAATTAAGTATGACATCAGACTGAAGAACTGTATTAATTACTTAATTTTCAAAAGTACCAAAATAATTTGGCACCTGGTTATATGACTATCATATTTGATCAGAATTTTAATTTTCAAATTTCATTTCAACAAAACTATGGAGGGAACCTCCATAAGGAGAACTATAGGAGAAGGAATAACTTTTAACAAAAGGCGGGTAATTTGATTTGATAGATAAATGTCATATTCTGTTAGAAATTGACGGTAACAGTAATATTTTTTTGTAACCCAAGTAATAGGGCTTGGCTAGTAAAACTACTTAAATGAAATAGAAAATAAATCGTAGTTTAACGGTTTTATTGAAAAAAAAAAGAAAAAAAAAAAGTTGGATTTAAATATTGACTATATTTATTTATTAAATATATTTCCGTATGAAAAATCCTTTTCCTAATACTACTCAGGGACTACAATAAATAAATATTTTCTAGTGCCTAGAGACATGTACTATCAAAGCTAGATTGACTGCTAAAAAACTTATTTACTTTTTTTTATAAGCTAGCTGGTGACAGCGACCTCCTTCGAGTGGAATTTAAAAAGCGCAGCCTTAGTGAGTGCGACCAGGCAAAATTTTATAGGTTTTTTCTGAGAGAAAAATAGGCTAAGTTACTCCTTATATAGACATCTATTCGGTAGTAAAATATTAACAAAATCGGTCAAGCCGTTTTGAATATTACCCGGAACAAACCGACAGACAGATAGACAAATATATTTTAAACTGGTTTTTAGGCATAGATATCGGGCAAATAACCGTGTAAGTATGAAAAAAACCTATTATTTTGACATTACAAACGGAAGCCTCAATTTTATTTATTTGTATAGATATAGCAGTCTGTAGTTAGAAAATAAAAAAACCTACTGATAGAAAACAATAATACCTTCTGGTGGAGGGCCTGGTGGCTCGCCGTCCGGTGGCGGGCCTGGTGGCATGCCGTCTGGTGGAGGGCCTGGTGGCATACCATCAGAGTCTTGTGGACTGGCGAATCCAGCGGACTTAGGACTAATACTCATCCCACACTACAAATAACACAATATCAAATGTAATTAGAGACTAATATACGAAAAAAAAACAGTTTTTATGATATATTTTTATACTATAATGGCAAACAAGCAGACGGGTCACCTGATAGTAATGTAACCTATGGACACCTGCAGCTAAAAGTCATCAGTGCGTTGCCGTTCATTGCAGGCGTTCATCGCCTTCCATACGTAAGGGTATTTTTCAAATCGAAGTACTAAAGTAATTGGTCAGGCTATCGGATTTATAAAAGTAATGATTCAAATGAGTATCAGAATTCCATGTGGTGATGGATTAAGAATACAGAGTGTCCACCCCTATTCATCCGATAGATGTCGTAAGAGCCGACTTTTGGAGCAAAACTACGTAGGACCACAGCACTGCAAAGAGAAGGAAAACTTGACACAAACAAAATATCAACCCGTCTGGCCAGCGTGGTATAGTAGACCAAAACCTCCTTTCTAAGAAGAGGCACAGGCCTATGGACCAGCAGTGGACTATGAAAAGATGATTATGATCAGATTTGAAGTAATAAAACTGCATTGATCTCAAATGACGCTCGTGTACAATAATATCTAAAGTACTATTGAACTGTATATAGAGTGTATTACTCACAACCAAGACCAGAACTGCTGCGATGGTGAAAAGAGCCACAAACAGCTTCATTTTCAAGAAGTTACACTGAACTGGCCATCATCTTTGTCTACATACCTTATATGTAGTACAACACGCACATTAAATTGTTACGAAATATTCTTCATCCGGTACACTTTGTAATATTAGCAATAATATCCATTATCAGAATGCTGTCATATACGGGAATTGAAAAAAAAAGATGTTTGTGATTTTAAAATAAACACTGTATTTATATTTAATTTTATAATGTAGGCTAACAGCGGCCTTAAACATTTTCATCAGCGTTGTGGGCGTTTTACGAGTATCAGTAATATTAGTAAATTACTGTTTATAAATTTTCTATCGTACTACCTATACAATTTTGATTGCGAGTTAAAATATAATTTCTATGAAGTTCCACAAGGAAGCATACTGGGTCCCTTACTTTTTCTCCTTCACATTAATGACAGAAAGCGATAGATAACCATGATTGTTGTACAGAATGTTAGATGGTTGGTCGAGGTTTTCCTTATGAATTAAATTTACATATTATTTAAACTTCGTATCAGATTCTGCAAAAGACTGAGGAATACGATCAGTTGATATGTACCATGTTTGTGGAAGAACGTGAATCGAGTTACTTGCTTTGTCATAGTCAAAGCCCGTTTCTCGATTCAGGTTCGTCTCTTGAGACTCCATTGAGACCTGGGCAGCTTAAAATGCTCTGCATCGTTGCAATGAAAGTATCTTGAAGGGTCTCCTTATTCTGCTGTTGTATTTCACAAACTACATTGAGTTTTTATATCACTCTGACCATAATATTCCAAATGATATTTCTGAGAGAGAATCTTTCTCCAAGGCAAGACTTCGCTCAACTAATAATCTTCCAACACACATTTCTTATCTTGTTCATTCTTCTTTTACTGTTCAATCTAAACTACTAAGGAATGAACAAATCGTGACACGTTTAAGGCTAAATTCCGAGAACTTTATAAGAAACAGCTAGCAGAAATATCCTCATAGCCGCGTCACTTCAGATTCTATTATTGTATATATAGATTCTATAGAAATGATCGTACATATTTTATTCTGTATGTAAATTACATAATTACGTCGTCGTTTTAGTCAATGTAGGTACTTTTAAATAGCACTATTAAGTGTTATTTTATATTTGTTAATGTTAGTTTTAGTTAGTTCATACCTTCATTGTACATACGCACCTGCCGTGTCCCTTACTAAACTATCTAAAGGTTGACTGGTAGATAATGCCATGGGGCATTAAGTCCGCCTCGTGCTAAATGTAATGCAGGAAGTGTAAAATAAATAAACCTAAGCGTAGAACAAATGGATTGTGCTTAACGACCACCACGACCTTGGCTTGGCAGTCAGGATCGCCAACCACCAGTAAATAGTTAAACTACTCATTATACTGTTTTAACAAGAAAGAGTTATTTCTCAATGGTTGTTGGTTTACCGTGGCAGAGCTATGGTCTCACAGAAAATCTGAGTTAAGCAATCCTTTCCTTGCTTTTTACTGAGTAATTGAGGTCCGTGATAGTCCACTGCTGGACATAGGTCTCTCCTTAAAAAGAAGGTTTTGCCCTACTGTAACCTAACTCAGGGGGGACTCAAAGGGCTTCTTTTTTCCAAGGGCTCAAAGGGCTTCTACACTCTTGTGGCTCTTGAGTTGCATGTGTCCATGGGCAATGGTAATCACTTAACATAAGGTGACCAGTCTGCTTGTTTGCCCTCTATGGCATAACAAATTTTTGTTTAAATTGACTTTTTATAAACAGTCCTTAGTCTATATGTTTTTACAAATGTGTGTCACATATATTTTGTCGAGCTGCGTGAAAAGAACTAAGACATGAGCACATTTTGGGTTTGAAGAACATTTGGATGCTCAGTTTATATAATTACCTGACTCATTCAGCCCCTTTGAAGTCTGAAGGCTATATAGATTAGCAAACTCAAATTTAGCTTATTTTTTTAACAATGATTACCCCATCTTTTAATTTATTTTTAAAATGTAGTAATTTTTTGTTTTTTTTTTGTTTTTTGACATAAAATTTGTTTTGTGAAATATTATTTTTCAAATTTAACAAAGCTGCACCAAATAGCTATAAACAGATAAATCCCAAAAGAATATTTTGTTCAAATTGGAGATCTACCATACTGTTTCATTATATTTACTTACAGAAGATAATAACCGAAATGTACAAGATAATAAGTGGGTCCTTCACTGAAATAAAGGAATTCCCCATCTTTCTTTTAACATATCTACTAGTTAAGACTTTGTTACTTTCGACTGACGACTTTGAGTTTAAGACGATTAAAAAGATTTTTTATATGAAATAAAGACACTTTGAGTTTACAGACTGATGGGATTGCAATCTATTAGGGTAGGCTGAAAAGTATTTATCTTTTAATAAAAGTTAAAACAACACATCAATGCATCAAAACCATTTAATTCTTAGACGTAAAAGATAAAAAGTTACTGCATGTGAAGATCAAAATATGAATTTTGTATTTGAATTAAAAAAAATGATCATTTGCGTACACTGCAGCTCGGTGATCCAGCCTTAGTGACCTGAAAAAAGAAGTTAACAACAAATAAATGTTTTAAAACTAAACTAGATGAATCTGTGGCTGGTCCCAAACTATACTGACGACCGAATGGCGTAGTGGTTTGTGTAACGGACTGCTATTCCAAAGGTCGCGGATTCGATACCCGCTCAAGTAAAACATTTGTGTGCATGTTTGATTTGGTCTTGGTGTTTCTATGTATAATAAGTATGTATTTACAAAAAACAAAGGTATATATATATTTATATCAGTTGTCTAGTACCCATAGTACAAGCTCTGCTTAGTTTGGGACTAGATGGCGTTGTGTGAATCACATCACATCATCACATCAACAGCCTATAGTAGTCCACTGCTGGACATAAGCCTCTCCTTAGAAAGGAGGTTTTGGCCTACTATACCACGCTGGCCAGACGGGTTGGTATAGGCTTTGTTTCAAGTTTTCCTTCTCTTTGCAGTGCTGTTGTCCTGCTTAGTTTGCTCCCTTAGTCGGCTCTTACGACACCCACGGGATAAATTGGGGTGGTGACAATTTGTATTCTTAATCCGTCACCACACGGACGTTGTGTGAATGTGGTACAATATTTATTATTATTAATATACATATAACCCGAGTATGTTGTACTATATATATGTATATGAATATATTGTAATAAATTCGGTTTTAACAGTAAGAGATCTAATTTTCCGGGACAAATGGACCCACCCCACGGGAATGATAACACGGCCTACCGAACAACAGTGTTAAGCGTGTTCCTTTGTTATATTCCACCTAGTAACTGAGGCTACAAAAGTCCCATACGTGTCTGCCATCGTCCTTTAAATGTCGGTGTTAAGAATCTCCGTAGTTTAATGACACCGGTGATACTTTATTAAATTAAATAACTTTCGTTGGCATAATTCTGATTCTGAGTATTATTCAACCCTTGAAATAGTAACTAGGTCTTCCCTTGAACACTCGGAATTTCGTATTTTGTACAAAAATTCATATAAAGTACAGTTTACAAATTAGCTCTGTTAGTTTAACCTTAGAGAACGTGGTCGTGTTACTTTTCTTTCTAAAATATCTATTATGATACATACAATCACGATTTTTTTCAGATTTTTATGCCAACAGTTTATTTTGTTGGGAGTTATACTTGGGTCTCACAAAAAATAATAGGTCTAAAACTATTAAAATAGTCTTTACCCTTTTCGACGTTTATAACACGTAAACGAAACCCATCTAACGATACCCCACGCTGGGATAGATGAAAAAATAACCATCCTTACTTAACGTGTCTCATACACGTACAGTAAGAATGTTTATTTTTTAGGTACCTTTTATTTTATAAAAAAAATCGTTTAAATTTATAACTCTCTGTACTTCTTGTATTTATGGACTTTAGATATTACAAATATCTCATTTCTCATCTGCATTTGTTCTTCAAATGGGTATTAACAATCCTTTCACGTGTGATATAATACTAACCTGGTGGGGGTGGTATACCAGATGGAGGCGACGGCGGATCTATGTCCTGTTGACCATCAATTCCGACACTCATACCGCTCTGAAATCACAATATTAAATAAAATTAAACTCCTTAAACCACATTTTCAGGAATGTTGTTAATCTTACGTTCGCTAAATTGTCAAATGTGTACTGTACTATAATGTGTACTGTAATTTGATGTCAACCTACATTAGGTTGATACAAAATGTAGTTTATTAGACATAAAAAGAGCAGAAGAATGCCATGAATAAGTAAAGTGGTAAATATTAGAAATATTGTTGCAGTTAGATCTGTGTGTTACCCATGGGATGACCATCGGCCCATCGGACTTTTATAAATATACTTAGTATAACTATCTTTTGCCCGCGGCTCCGCCCGCGTGTATGTCGGTTACCGCGGTAAAACGTAAGTCCTGTCCGTCCCCAAAACATTTTGTTATGTTAGAGGGCAGACGAGCAAACGGGTCACCTGATTTAAAGTGACCATTGCCGCCCATGAACGTCCGCAACTCAGGAGTCACAAACGCGTTGCCATTGCTCGTAACTCTAAATATCTTCATAACAAATTTCATCTAAATCAGTTTAGCGGTTATTGATTCCAAATACAAACTTAAAACTCAAACTTCACCCCCTTAAAGCATGCTTTCTGGGATAAAAATCCTTTCTATCCTATATCCTTTCCCAGGACTCAGGATATAGGACAGGAAACTATCTCTACACCAAATTTCATTTAAATCGGTCCATCGGTTTAAGCGTGAAGAGGTAACCGACGGATAGACAGACAGGCACACTTTTGCAATTATAATATTAATATGGATTGTATGGAATTGTTCACGCGTGAGGCGCTTGAGCAACCAGCGAGGGAGCAAAGGGCGCAGCGGAGCGCGCCGGGAGCTACGATTGCGGTAAATGAGGGTATCACGAGCCCCTTCACTTAACGACCGAGCGGCGCACAAGACAAGCGCGTTATCCCGAAT